AGAATGACGCCTGTTGGGAGACGAAACTTTTAAAAGTTACAAGCAAGTCCAATATGTTCGGACCGAAAACGGTCTGTATATATTTATAGAATGACGCCTGTTGGGAGACGGAACTTTTAAAAGTTATAAGCAAGTCCAATATGTTCGGACCGAAAATGGTCTGTATATAGTTTGAGAATGACGCCTGTTGGGATACGGAACTTTTAAAAGTTACAAGAAAGTTCACAATATTCGGACCGATACCGGTCTGTATATATTTATAGAATGGCGCCGGTTGGGAGACGAAACTTTTAAAAGTTACATGCAAGTCCACAATATTCGGACCGATCCCGGTCGGGATATAGTTGCAAGTTTTAAAAGTTGCAGCTGGGTCCTCAATATTCGAACCGATACCGGTCCGTATATATTTGCGATGCCTCTTCCCTCCACAGTTACAGACCGTTGTCGGTTCGTATATATTTTATTATTTTATTATATTATTTTTTTGGGACCAATTTCGGTCCGCTTATTTCAATTTCTCAATAATTATTTATATTTCTTACTGAAATATACGGACCGATTTCGGTCCGAATATTATATATATACGAACCGATTATGCGTCGGTCTGTATATTAGACTTATTCGTACCAGGTTTTTTCGAATCAACTATAAGGACCAATATCGGTCCGGATATATATATTCAGACCGATTTCCTATATATCGGACCGATGTTTCGGTTCAAAAATCCCATTCCTGCAGTAGTGTGCCACCATCTCAAAAACCATTTGAAATATGCTTCAAAAACCTTTACCTTAAAATCCAATGGCATTACCATACTTTTACTTACCTCGTCTTGTAGCTATACAACAAGCAAGAATTTCAAGGTTTCAAGGAGATGAAGGTGACTTAGAACCTATGCCACATCAAAGAATAAACAAGATTACAAAATACCCCATTTAGCTAAATTGGCTTCTAATACCAATATCAAGTTTCTATCCAAAGAAACAATTTCTTCCTATACATCCTTACTATTTCTACCCATTGAACTTTTATTAACATATTAATATATTTAACCATACCTAAAGTATGTTAAAAACATCACCAAAAGTCACACACAACAACAATTATTTCTAGGCAAAACAGCAGCAGTTCTGGGCAAAATAGTAGTAAAACAACAGCAAAATAGCATAATTTTTTGGGTAAAAACAGTAGCAATTTATGGGCAAAACAACAATTTTTTGGGCATTATCTGTCACGCCCCAGAACCCAAATCCGAGGCGCGACAGACGCCGTGCACTCGTGAGTGGGTCCCACAAATGCACAAGGCTCGGAACTTATCCAAATCACAAAATCTCATGAATAAAATCAACCTTACAAAAGGATGATAAAATCTAAAACTTATACCCCGATTGAATGGCTAGCCTTCTAATTCGTCACTCCCCTCGGTTTCCCCGTCCTCGGTTTCGATTCCTGAAATGGTGGACAAGGAAAACTATGAGATAACTCGGTAAGTAAATATGGATAGCCCTTGGGTAAAAACTTTTAAGCATGCCAGATAAACAGTTTAATATAACCAAAACGCTCAATGACAAAATCAAATTCAGTTCAATTGCAAAGCATTCATGACAAACCATTCATGCAGAATAAAACTCAGTTCAGTAGTCTCATCCATAAGTCATGGCCAGTGTTTAACACACTCCCACTGGCAGGCATCAGTAATGGTACCAGTGTTTACAAACTCCCACTAGTAGGCGTCAGTAATAGTGCCAGTGTTTACAACTCCCACTGGCAGGCGTCAGTAATAGTGCCAGTGTTTACAACTCCCACTGGCAGGCGTCAGTAATAGTGCCAGTGTTTACAGCTCCCACTGGCAGGCGTCAGTAATAGTGCCAGTGTTTACA